TAAAAGATTAACTTTAATGTTGGTTTATCTTCTTCTAATTCTAAAAATTAAAAAAAAAAGAAGCAAATTAACTTTTACTTCTTTTACAGACGAGATTAAAGTTAATCTCTACATGATAGAAACAGACTAGAATTACTTGAAGCAAATTTTTCAATTATATAATTTATTATGTCCCTATTTAATGTTTTATATTAATAAAAAATTAAAAATCATTCATATTGAAAAATAATGTTCATTGGAGTTTGGAAGACGTTAATCTAATTAGAATAACTTCGATCAAATTATCTTAATTAAATTAACTTAATCAGTACTATTTTATTAAGTGATAAATAAAGCTATTAAATTAACAAAATTATGTTTAATGTATCGATAAAAGATTAAAACAATAATTTGTACATTAGAGATTTTGTCTTAAGTGACTTATCGATTAAGTTAACTGCTGATTAAGTTACTCAAAATCACTGTTACTACAAGTATTTCTACCAACGCAGATTAACTTTAATTTCGATTTAATTTACTCTTATCTTTCTCTAATTTTTAGTACTAAACTTTTACATTAAATCGATCATTTTTCTCAAATATATTTTATATTTTAAATATATATGTATATATAAACACACATACACAAATATATACATATTCAGAATTGATTAGTAACGGCAGATTTGTTGCTCAAACGTTTTTATTCCGAGAACGATTAGTATAACAAAGTTGAGAGGGAGAACGAAACATCAACGAGAGCACCAATCAATTTCGAGGAATCGAAAATGTACCTCAATCTCATTTGACATATATTGTGACTCTTATTATTGTGGTTCTCTCATCATTAGTATACAAAGTGACATACCTTCTCGAGCTCAACTATTTGATCATATAATTTACAGTACGACGGTCAGTTTAGTAATAGATGATTTGTGCAAAATTTGCGCTTATTGTTAAGTGTTCAGCTTCGCCGGAGCTTCATTGTTGGACGTCCTTGCATAGATGCCAAAGTGATTTAGTCGACGCCAACGTAGATCTTCGGGATCGGGTGTTGGTGGGGCAGTAACACATTCGAGACTCAGCTGCAAGGCTCGTCTCAACTCGTCATCTTCGTCTGTATCATTTACCAAGTCTGTTAAATGCGTCGTTTTATCGTCAGTATGAAGATCCAATCTCAATTTTAACGTCTTGTCTACGTCATCTTCATCATTTTGCAGACTCATCTGCAGGGCTCTAGCTAATTGCATATTTTCGTCCTCTTCCTCGTCACTCTTCTCTTCTCTGCTCTCGACTCTTATGGGGATTATCCTTTCACGAGGTTCGTCTGTGGATAGTCCAGGTTTATGCAAAAGCGAGGACACATTTCTGCTTGCACTCGAAGATTGTGGAACCTTCACTTCTCCCATCGCAAGAGCAGTTTTCAAAATTTCGTCCTCCAGCTTGGTGCCTAAGCGATTGCCTTTGGATGTGATTTTTGATTCCGAGTTTGGATTGCTTTTAGTTGCGACTATAGGATTTTTCAGAAGAACATCTTCGGCGGGACATTGTGGAAGGGTACCAATAACGATAAAAATAGAATAACCTGTAAGATTAGCGGTTGATTGATATACCTTTGATTGACACACTTTTCGTTAGTGTCTCACTTTGCCCTTACCTTCTTGTAACAATTGAGCTAGATACATTGTGAGATAAGTGTCTGATATAAGCTGAGGTCCACTGAGCATTGAATTTAAATTAAACCACTGACTCGCAAGTTTTCTTATCGTAAACCAATGTCCTTTATAATTACAAATATATGCTCTCATCCGCCTGAAAATTATATTGCCACTACACATGTATTATTTTATAAAATTTTATTATAAATAAAACTACTTAGTTTAAATCATTGAAAAGTGAACACCTGATATAAATGATGATATAAATAAATATATAATATAAAAAAAACAAGTGTTAATTTGTATGTGTGATCTGTTGCTGTAATTATTGTAAGAACAATGAAATCTTTAGAAAATATGCTCTTCTACGAGTGCAACAGAACAAAATATATCAGGACACAACACAAAATAGACTCAAAACCTTTGACTACGTAAATACTTATAGTCAAAGCTCAAAATAAATTATCAACCTACGAAGGATCATTCTGTGCCAATAAAGCTGTTGGTTCCGTGCTGTTATATGGAATCAGTTCTAAACCCCAAACTTTCAAAGCACTGCTAATAACTTGAACTGAAAAATATCCACTGTCGTCCATGTTTCCCGATGGTTGCTAAACATAAGAAGCAATTCACTGTTATTACAGAGAGTATTTGCTCAGCTCTTGGTAGGAAATAATAGCAAGGTCAAGCGTTTATGTCTATCAAAAAGGAAATTTTCAAAGAGTGCATGTCTTATTTATAATATCAATTTTTGTATGACACTGCTATCGTTGAGTATTCAGTAATTGTATGCCGAGAAGCTTTGACACGCGACGTCGTGTTTACCTCGAGAAACAGCTTGTAGTCCTCACTGTCGACGCCCGACTCGGCCATCCGGATTCTTTCCTCTTCGTCCATTTGATGTCCGAAATTCGCCAAGTCGACGGCGTTGAAGTACGGGCCTTGCAGGAGCGCGTTCAGGCAGTGCTGGGCGCACAGGTATCCCTCTTGCTGCGAGGAAAAAACATCGCTGAAGAACATGAACACGATCCCCGTCGTTCGCGTTAGAATTGATCGCCGTTACGGCGGCGTCTTTTACCTTCTCGTGAAATATACTCTCCATTGCACAGTCTGCCCGGCGATACCGCGAATAACGCAGAACCCCGCGTCTGTCAGACGCGTAATAATAATCGTAAATATAATGTCCCTCCGCCGATCTCGGCCGTAGATGAGAACGTCATCCACAAAAATATTTTCAGCCTACAGTCATGAACAACAGATGACCATTGTGTCGCGCCAGAGAGAAACCTGAGAGAGGCTATGCCGGCTTTTTTTCCTATTACCGTCGAAATCGGCCGTACACTACCGCCAGTACATCCATTCTCAATTTGGGAACTACGTGCCTACATGCATTTTCTGACACTATCGATAAAATCGTATCGTAGAAAAAAGATGTGGTTCATGTCTGTACTAAATACTCAGTCAGAGAAGAACCTAAAAGGGACCATGCCGGCCTTTTTCGTAGAACTTATAGGGCGACTGTTACCAACGCCGATTAACTTAATCGACGATTAAGGGCCTGCGCACAATAGAGGAACAAGAATTAGATATTAAGATTTCAACCTATCAGAAATCGTGTATTCCGATGTAATCAGTTTCTGATATGTTGAAATCTTAATATCTAATTCCTGTTCCTCTATTGTGCGCAGGCCCTAACTCAATCAGCAAAATTACTATTATAGATAGAAGATTTTCATTACTTTTATCACAATTAAGTATAGGAACGCAGAGATAGAAATATATCACGAAGAGATAAGGTTAAGAACGATATACAGTCTTGCTGTTGACTACATTGCTGATTGAGTTAATCGGAATGATGAGACTGGGCCATTTGCTGGATTCACACTGCATTCGATTTGCGTCGTACGACGCTCTGCAACCAATCAGAAAACAGGATTTCGATGATACGAAGCAGAATCCATCGGAATCCCGTTTTCTGATTAGTTGCAGAGCATCGTACGACGCACATCGGATGCAGTGTAAATCCAGTATAAGAGCCCAGACACAAACTTTTGCATAACGCATAACGCATAACGCATAGTGCATAAGAGAATCAACCAATCGAAATTCTTCTTTTCCATGGAATGGGAGGAAAGGAAAGATTCTGATTAGTTGATTCTTTTATGCACTATGCATTATGCCTTATGCAAAAGTCTGTGTCGCGGCCTTAAGTTAGTATACAATTGGTGCATCCAAAAGTACAACCGCTTACTGAACGCTTAGTGAGCTCTAAAGGCCATTCTACATTGGTCGTATCGTAGACGTCGCAAGTCACAAGTTTGTTGCTTGAGCCAATCCGATGCTCCAATTTTAAAGTCGTATGATGCTTACGACGCTTCCGACGCTACGATACGACCAATGTAGAATGGCCTTATGGTTTGTTCGCGTTGCACGCTCCAATAAGTGGCACCGGGGTGATCCCGATTGACCACGTCTCGATTGGACACCACCAATCACAGCGACCGGTGCTTAGGAGCTTCGTAGGCTGGTATTCATAGTCGATTCTTATTTCAAGACCGTCTTAAGTAATGTCTTAAGACGCTAATGCAGCCCTCTGATTGGTTCGTGACTTCTTAAGACCGTACTTAAGACGGTCTTGAATATAAGATCTGACTATGAATACCGGCCGTAGTCTCAAGTGCTGTGAGTGGCTCGTGTCCAATTGAGCTATGTCCAACTGGGTGCCACCCGACGCGAACAAACCCATGAGCTCACTGAGTGCTCAGTGAGCGGTCGTCGCTTCTGGATGCACCCAATAGATTTAATGTGCACTGAGTGTGCACTAATAGCGTTTTCGGCCCGATCGGGTTTGCAACCTGGGTTGGATTAATCTTTCCTATTGGTTGATATCACACGCTCTACCAATAGGAGAGCGCAAAAATTAGAACATATATAAATGGAAGAGGCATTGCCTATACTTCCCATGGCTCGCGCTGATGCAAACATCTGTGCGAAAGGTAGTAAGGGATAAATGTTCCCAATGCGCATGCGCAGCATCACGTTTTGCACATCTGTATAATGTACATAATACGAATGTGTAAAAACACTGAACCAACTGCACAATTCACACAGATGACGATGCTGCGCATTGCGAACATTTATCCCTTACTACCTTTCTCTCTCGCACAGATATTGGCTTCACGTTCAGCGCTCTATGCCCCTTCCATTTATATATGTTCTAAGGTGAAGAACGCTAATAGCGTTTTCGGCCCGATCGGGTTTGCACCATCTTGGGTTGGATTAATCTTTCCTATTGGTTGACGTCACCCGCTTTACCAATAGGAGAGCACAAAGCGCCATTAATCCAACCCAGGTTGGTGCAAAGCAAACCTTGCCGGGCCGAAAATGCTATAAAGTTCCAAGGAGTTAGGTTCTGTTAAATAAAGAAGAATTATTTATACTTGAATTCTTTTTATTCATACACATCAACGTATGCGTATAGAGGTGACAGAGTTAAAGGGGAAAGATAAACAGGAAATACACAACGGGTAAAATAACAGAAAACTAAACGACGAGAAGAAAAGTTTCTGCAATAATAAAAATATTCAAGTCAAGTGTCAAGTCTGTGACAACAATGCAGGAAGAGCAAAAAAAAACTCCAAAATTAGGAACTATTCGAAAGTAAAATTATCGTTTTGTTGCAAATGATATTTAAATTAGATGAAAAATTTCATACAACAAATACATACATACAAATTAATACAACGCATGTTTTTGTAGAATTCGCAATGCTGCAAGTACACCAGACATTGCAAGAAATCTGTCGAATACTACTTTACCTGCTTCACATAATGTTTCTAGAGCTTCTCGTAGTAGAGTAACTTTGATGCCAGGTGACATTGCACAGTTACAGAGTGAGAACTTTATTGATAACTTTTTTTTTATTGAATTTCTTTGATACTGCTTTATTATTACATTTATTATTGCATTTTAATATTGTGTTACATATAGAAGTGTGTGTGCCGAGAAAGAAGATTGTTGTAGACAAGCAGTCAATCATGCCATCACAGATAATATTGGATGCACAAAAGAAAATGGACAGCGAAGAATTAGAGCTTGGACTTCTTTATGATGAATATTTACAAACTATGATGATGGATCTCATAATGAAGAAGAAGCTTCTAGAGAAAAAGCGTCTAATGATCATGCAAATGGCTGCCATAGCACAAGAGATTGATCAGGATACACAAAAATTAATTAAAATTAAAACAAGGGAACGCGATATAATAAATTTAAGTTTAGCACAAAAAGAAGCAGATTGTCAACTGATTGCAGTGACAAAATATGCTGGTAAGATTTTTATACATACATAAATTAAATTAAATTATTTGTTCTTTACGTTTACATTTTTTACAGAAAATGAAACATTTAAGATTGTAAAAGATATGTTATCCAAGTTGTACCTTCTCTTGGAACCTTTGGATGTATTGCGATGTAATGGCATAATACTTCCTGAAACACAAACTGAATGGAAAGAGACTCAAGAAATATTAAATAAATGTTCAAATGTTTTAAGAAACACTGCAAATTTAATAGGATCGAAAGGCGAAATGTATTGTGCTGTTAATGCTGGATTGAAGAATTTTACCGAAGCATATGATGAAATAAAAGATCTTCAAAAAAAGTATGTTGCAAGTATTTTTATCTTTTTTAATTAACTTATTTTGAATTAATATATATTAACGTTTATGATTATATATTATTTATTCATTTGTATTTGTATTTTTTCAGATTGGAAGAAGTACTGTGCAATTTTCAAGTATTGATGCTGAAAAATGCTTCACTTTCATTGGCATGCGATGACAGTGGGTAGATAGACATGTTGGAACTGTTTGAAAAAATAGAATTGCATAAAAATACGAAAATGGAATGAATTGGTAGCTTTTTTGTACAATTGTTGCATAAAATGTACTGTGTTGTTGAAAATGAGAATTAAATTCAGTTGAATAAAATCTATTTTATATTTTTGTAGAATGGTGTCAAAGTTATTTTCTTTCTATGAAATAAAAAAGACTTAGATTTTTATGATCATTCCATTCCATGTATAAAATTTCATAATTATTTTTATTTGGTAACAATTGATGTAGCATCATCAATCAAGTTTGTTAATCTTTTTGAGATATAATCATGGTGGAAGGGATAACATGAGCTTTTTAACAAGCGACACTGTAGAACCGAAATGGTGATTGCCCCATCTTTGTTTAACATTGGCGAACAAAAAGGATACAACGATTCACCGTGCCACACCGCGTCATTTGTGGGTGCTTTCCATTTGATGACAAATCAACACAAACGTCGTTCTATTTTTCTTGACATTCAGAGAGTGACAAAGATATTGATTCAATAGTGATAAGAACGCGAATTCCCGTAAGGATGTCGGTCTTTAATAAGCGGGGAGCACAGACTCTTGCATAACGCATAAAACATGAGGCATAAGAAAATGAACCAATCAAAGTGTTTTATTTCCTTCCTTTCCGTGAAATAAAGAACTTTGATTGGTTGATTTTCTTATGCCTCATGTTTTATACGTTATGCAAGAGTCTGTGTTTCTCGCTATAGTAGGTCTGCGTTGCATGAAATCCCTAAATATTTTTGCACTTAAAATGAGATAGATACATATTTTGCCTTAAAAAGAGAGAAAGCGAAGATGTCGAGTGCCAAAAGTGCAAGCAACGCAAACAGATCTATGGTCTGTTTTCTGTTCCTGCACTAGACTGTTCTAGAACTCTCTTTCTCGTTTTAAATAAATACCAAACGTATTTATATCTCGCTTTAAGTTCCAAAAGTGTACACTAGTTCAGCCACAGAAAAACAGACCTCTAGTATCTTGTCGGTGGTTCAGCGAAAAAGAACGAACAGGCCTTTTAGCTAAACAGAACAGACCTGTGCTGACGCTCGATCACGTGATCGAAATTGACGTTTGATATTCGTTTATTTTTATCACGTGATCTGTCAACATCCGGTCAGCCGTTTCCGGATAGAACGCGCGCACGTTTTTAAAGACCAGATCGTACATTTTGTACTTTGACGTCTGCAAGGCATCGATTCCTCGCCGTCCTCGCCTCGGATACGCGGCGAGCTGTTATAAATTATTGAAGGAGTCTCTACAGCGTGTCGATATCGCGCGCTGTGTTCCATTGACATTTGAGAGAAATTGAAACTCCATTAATTCCGCGCGTCGCGCATTTTTCATCCTCTTCGACGCGGCCACCGTCTTTTATTTTCTCACGGACGTTCCGTCACCTGATAGATTCCTTTTTGTCGGAATCAGACGACCACGTACGACCGATCGCGGCGCTATCCGCTTCTATCCGTATCCTTGTAGGTATTGTAAAAAGTACCGTTACGCGTCATACGTATATACGGCTATACGCGCGAGTTTCACGTTGTGTATGTGTGTGAGTAGTGCGACGACTGACGACGATCGTGCGCTGTGCGCCTCGCGACAGCTCGGCTCATTCGGCTGTATCGCCGAATACAGCTGTCGACGCTTCGGACAGAGCCGAGGCTCTAGCAAAACTCGGCGTCCGGTCCGTTTATTCTGTTTCTCCCTACGATCCGATTCTTGTTTCACCTCTGCTACCCTTCTGCGCGAGAATGCGAGACCGCGGACGAACGTAGGAACACGAGTCTCCTCCCGAGGAAGGTACGGCGGCAGAGAGACGTGTGCCTGCCCCGCGAACAGGCCGCGGTTATGTTTTTCGATGGAGAGCACTTTAGCGACAATGGCAGCAACGTCCCCGTCGAAGGTACGTTGAAGGTTTTCCATCCCCCCCTATCCCTGTAATTTTCCACCCGTGCAATCCCAGGGACGCCAGCCGCTCGTGTAATCGGGAAACAATCGAAAAATCGAAAGAAAGATTAGAGAGAGCGTTTACTTTATTTGTGACACTCGTGAGAGAACCGGACAACCGAGCATAATTCTGACGGACATTGCGAGACAAAATGGAAAACGTACGGACTCGGCGAGAACTTGTTCGCTGTTGCTTATCGTCAGATCGTTATCAGTGAATTGTCAATCGCGCCCGTTATTGATGCAGTCGTTCTTAATTTAGGAATTGAACGAAGAGTTTTATGAACAAAGATTTTTATTGTCATAGTGTGATTGTATTCATCTTTAAACACACATTAATTAATAATTTTTAATTTTTTGCTATTTACCATAAATGGCACAAATAATGCAGTTTTATTTTTTGTGCAATAACTTTACAACAATCTCTGTTGTTTATATTAACATATGTTGTTTATAATTAACATATGCTAATAATTTATATTATTTAACATATGCTAAATAGAAACCTTTATAGAAATAAAATTGTCGACGGACATTAATATACATATCTCTAAGAAAAACATGTTTACATTATACCTCTTTGAACAAAGTAGTTGCTTCCATAAGATTGTTTGATGTTTGTTGTTTCTTATAACAGCTCCTGTGTAATTTATATTATTTAGTACATGCTCAACAGAGATCTTTATGTAAAATTATCTATCTATATAGACATTAATACTTATTTCTAAAAAAAAAAAAAACAGTTATATTATATCTCTTTGACTAAAGTTCCTTCTATAAGATTGTTTAATATAAAAAAAAAAGAAATATTACATTCAATGAATTTGTTTAATATCCTAGAGGAGACTGCAGAAGGAGTTGATGTCTTTAATACGTGAGCCTCCACCAGGTGTACACGTAGATGCAGAGTTGGCTGGACAAAATTTGACGCAATGGATCGTCCACATGGAAGGTGCCAAGGGCACGCTGTACGAGGGGGAACAATTTCAGCTTCAATTTAAGTTTAGTTCAAAATACCCGTTTGATTCGCCAGAAGTGACTTTTATTGGTGGAAATATCCCTGTACATCCACATGTCTATAGTAATGGTCATATTTGTTTATCCATATTAACGGAAGATTGGTCTCCTGCTCTCAGTGTGCAAAGTATCTGCCTGAGTATCATTTCCATGCTAAGCAGCTGTAAAGAAAAGGTGTGAGATTTAACTGTTAAAACATATGTGAGCTTTAATTGTAATTCGATACATAACATATGTACTTTCCATGTAGAAGAGACCGCCTGACAATACATTTTATGTGAAAACTTGTAACAAGAATCCAAAAAAGACAAAATGGTGGTATCATGGTAAGAAAAATTGCTTTATATTACACATTTCAAACTCTGGCAGTTTTATTACATTGTTAAATCCTTGTCCTGTATAACATGTGCAATTAGCTGTATCCTAACTAATTATAGTTTTCATATATGTAAAAGTACAACTTTGTAAAATGAATAAAATGAATAATTGTTTTTTTTTAGATGACAGTGTCTAACATTGAAGATCATATAAAAATCTTGTCAACTTGTCAACATTTGTTGGACCAAGTGGGATGACATCCAAATATGGAACCTGATGCATTAAATCAATAGAATTTTTGCATATAATATTATATTATATAGTAAAGTCAATATAACAAGAAATTAGTACTTTTAAGGAAAGACAAGGCTACAACTTACTTATTATTATAATTATAGAATTAATGCAAACTGCGTGAATTGTTTAATCATAAATTATTGCAATGTTGCTGATAGCGAAGCATATTTTAGTTATAGAATTACTATCAGGATCAGTGAATTAATGCTAAAAAGACAGATAAATAAGAAGGTATTATTTATTATTAAATAAAATATTAATATATAAAGTTTTCTCTCTTGTTACTCCGAATTTATGGAGATTCCTGATGTACATTAAAATCATTTAATAAATTTAGAAATTATGAAAAACATGATAAATATATGCATACTATATTACAATAGCTATATAGTTTAGTAAATTGCTTTCTGTTGCTTTTAATAAAATTATGAATTGAATATTGAATTATAATCTATTGTATACATTTTTGAGAAAGAATATTTTGTTCAAAATTTAGTGGTAAATACTACTCTTATACATTAATTTCTATTTACAATAACAAAATGTGATTAAGCGCAATATATACTTTTTTAAATAAGTAACTTAAATTTTTTATTTTTTTAAATATGCAAACTATATTTTTTAGTACATTCCTCTCTGCTGCATTAATTTGTTTCTTTTAAATTTTTTGAGGCTACCACTTAGATCTATCGGGTCTGTTCTTTGTCGCTGCATTAAAACTTTCTTCTTTAAATCTTAACTATTCTTTAAATTCCACTAAAAAGATCATGGTACCATGCAAATATGTTAAATGAATCCCATACGATGCTACTAAAACTTTTTATCTCGTTTTCGTCAAAATTTAAATATATATCTATTTTTTTAAGTATAATACTATATATTAGTTCAGATACAAAGAACAGGCCTATTAATAAATATTATGTATTTAATGAAATAAATATCGTATTTAAACAAATACAGTGAGAGTTGGTATATAATAACTCGTATATTACATTTTTTAATATTAGCACTTTTACAACCTAGTTGTGATTTTTATTTAAATATATGTATAAGATATTGTCATATATATATATATATATACATATATATATATATATCACGCTATGTTCTTTTAAATAAATTTTAAAAGTTGTAAAAGTTTAATTTATATATATATATTAATAATTCATTAGATGTGCTATTTTATATAAAATAAGATGGCATTGATGATAATATATAATGTGAGATTAATTAATGACATTGCAAATATCAACAATTGGTATACAGTTTAATATTTTAAAATTTTTGTGTCATGCAATTTTATAATTACACCATTACATGTATTAGCTAGTAAAACATTTTGTACATTTCTTAAAAATGTAAAGTGACGTGATATTAAATTTCTTAATAACATTTAGTGTTTTTCTTCAATCATTGATTCATCGCGCCTTATATACATATATGTGTGTGTGTACATTATGTAATTTGGCTATATAATGTGTGTGCGAAGCACAACTCTCACATGAGAAAATAAGTTTTAAGAAAGATAATTGATATATATCAAATTGGAGCATACAAACGTAATTACAATAAAATAATTTATTAGAAAAATGTTGTATGCAATTATTACTTCATATCTTATCGTATTGTAGTAGCGATATTTCATTCTTTTTGCTCTATTAGAGCACTGCCGAATATTTATCCTTTCAAAACTATTAGTCAATCAAAAATGGTTAATGTTTCTGGAAAATATATTTTGTACATTCACGATCTTTTAATGTATAATCTCTTTCTATAATAAATTATTTTTATCTTCGATATAAATATTATTCCTTAACAATAAATACAATACAAGAAGATGTGGTTGATAATAAAGATAAAAGTTTTTGCGTTTGATTGAAAAGAAAAACTCTGCTCTTATCTTAAGAGTATGGAATACTTTTATTAATCGTATAATTATGAAATCAATTTTGATATTAATATCAACTGATTTATCCCAAATAGCACATTATATTCTGAGAATATTCTAAGAATATAATAAAAGGGTCACGTCTGATATTCCTATCCGCAGCAACATTGTTCGCAGTATATCCTCAGAATATCAAAATGAATTTCGACAATTTTCCTTAAGAGTGTGTAAGAAATATCTATTAAAAATAATATTCTGTTATTATTTTTAATAGATATTTCTTAACAGAATATTATTTTTGATAGATATTTCTTAACAGAATATTATTTTTAATACATATATTTCTTATACACTGAGAAAAAAATGCTGTTGATTCAATTAAACTTTATATTACGGGCTGTCACTAACATAAGTGATTAATTCATATATATTTTTATTGACACAAAAAAATTGACATAAATTATTATTTCAATAATTAAACCTTTATATTAATAAAATATACGTATGAATTAATCACTTATGTTAGTGACGGCCCGTAATATAGACTTTAATTGAATCAGCATTTTTTTCTCAGTGTATACTCTTAAAGAAAATTTTTGAAATTCATCTCGATATTCTGAGGATATACTGCGAACAATGTTGCTGCGGACATAGGAATATCATACGAATATCAGACGTGACCCTTTTAATATTCTCAGAATATTCTCAGAATATAATGTGCTATCTGGGACGTTATAATATATGACAAGAAAATTAACACTTATCTTTATTTTTCGAATAATTTGCTGTGTAAATTGATGGTAATATTTTAATTAGCGATAAGATTTATGTGTTATTTCTACTTTTTTAATCTCCCTTTTTTGTAATTGTTAATTGTTGTTAATTTATTCTTAGTTTCATTTTTATAGAATCTTTAGTAAATACCAAAATCAATACACTACTTTCGAAATCTATAATTCCAAAAAACGACGTTATTTTTGCTCCATAGTTATTTTCGTGATTAAATATATTTTCAGAAGCTGCTGCGAGAGATGAATTCTTATTGTATTTATTTTGTGTAGTACATAATACATATACATATGTAAATCTTTAATAAAATACAACTTTTATCAGAGTAAATTTCTTTAGCCATATATATAGTTATACATGTGTAAATATTAAGGTATAAATAAATTTTAATCACAGCTCAACAGCTAGCATTTAGACTGAAAACCAATAAATACCATAAAAATCTTGCATTTCTTATATAATTAACTATTTTATAAGCAAATAATACGGTTATATTATTTATCTGTCTTTTTAAAATATTTAAAAAAAATATTTCAGTTTCTAAAACCGATTTTCCCGAAATAATTTAATCTCTTTCGATTTATTTTCTGGTTATATTATAATTTTGATCATCTTTTTATATGTAATTAAATTATAATAATTAACGACGTGTTAAACGTGTTTAAACTCGACGCTGATATCACTAATTATGATATGTTTTTATCTTATTAACAAGTGCAACAGCAAGAAGGAAGACATTGTGATTGAAGAATTATCATCTTATATATATATTCGCGCGTTTATCATATATACATATATTTTTATTGATGTTGCGAAACCATTAATTGTCAGCACGTTTTAATTACATGCTTTTATTTATTATCAGTTCGCTGTCATTTATATCGAATATTTGTGTAGGATTAATATTTTCTATTATTCAATGTAATATATATATATATATATATATATATATATATATCGATATCTTTATGTAAATATGTTCACTTCAGTTTACAATCTCATTTTATCCAGAAAAATCTGGTATATTATCTGCAGGTTGAAGTGCTATTAGATTTTTCAGAGATATGAAAAATTGTTTCTTAAAATGTTACCTTTCTATAAATTTAGTTCTAAGATACACACACGCGCAATACTGTTATTTTAATTCTAAATAGAAAAAAATACACTGTCTCTCTTAATTCGTGACAATATAATTGTATATACGAATATACACAACACTTCTATAATATATATAATCCGATATACATAATTCTCCATAATATCTCCATAATAATCCGATATGCATAATTCTCCACAATATATAATTAGTGCGAAACGCACTCATCTTTCATCTTTAATCGCAAAAAATTACAATATAAACATAGATATTTTGTATATGCTACTAATTCGATAGGAATCTTCGACCATCGAAAGAAAGATACATTAAATCATCATCCGGCTTCACGAAAAAGATTAAAGTTGTGTAAAGTGACGTTATCGCATATACATGCATATTGGAGCTGTATCGTTAACACTGCGGTTAAGAGAAAGAGGCAAAGAGTGGGGCCAACGATTTCCGAGCATGTCTGACGTCTGACAACGCGACAGCAGTCCATTTCGTATCGGAATGAACGGAGATAATGCCGCCATTACGGATACCTCGATAATTGATTTCGTTCGTAGTTTGTTTGCCAGCAAGTGCTTGACAAGTGGCTTCCTGCCGCAAAATCTATTCTTTTCGAAAAAAAAAACGACCGTCGCGTGCACTTTGAAATATATATACATAAAATATCACATTATATTTACGGTAGCTTTGTTATAAAATACGCAGTGCGGTTTGCAGTAGTGACGTAGATTCAATGAAAATACTGTGCGATATGATAGTGTTATTCGCGTATCATCACAGGAATCTACACTCGTATTATTCGAATTAAATACGGGAATATTGTACAAAAAGGAATATCGTGAACGTAGTACCAATTCTCTGCTTTTCCATTCCATTCCTCATTTTGCTAATTCTTGCGAATGAGCGCTCTCCACGATTCCACCTCCAAGTGTGTCGTCCTTCGACAGCCGTGTGGCGTCATCGCTGAAGCCAGTATCTGTCTGACTAGTCCGACAGTGTCGTAGGATCAACGAAGATAACTGAGTGGCCAGCTGAATCGAGTCTTGTCTTGTTTGGATCGTATGTACTTTGTTCCTGTGGATCAGTGCATTCTTCAACAGCAGGTGGAGCCAACGAAGTGTGTCGAAAACTGTCGGGGACCAGTTTGAATGAAGTTTTCCTTTCCGGGAAAACATTTTCCATGGTGACGGCATCATGTCGTCATAGATTGTTGGTGGATTTAGTGTTGGCAAAGTGACCGCCACCAGCACAAATGATGATTTGTGCGAGGTAATCTCGAGTATGAGTCAGTCAATCCTTAATTTAGCGGATAATGCGAATTGTTGCCGACCGGCTACACTAATTTAGGATATATTGAGTTGGGATTTTCCTCGGGATTTTCTGATCACGCTTGCTATTTGTTTTTTATATTTTACCGAGTTTTTAATAAAATACTTTAGATATGTGTTTCCACTTCCATTCACGATGAACTTTGTTTCTACAGTTGATGTATAATTTCTCAAAACAAGACATGAAATTATTAGGTCTGTTCTTTTTAGCTGAACTTTTTTGCATAGTTTATCTTTTATGTTTTTTTTTCAATATGGAAAGAAAAAAAAAGATAAACCATGTAAAAAGTTCAGCTAAAAAGAACAGACCTATTATCTATTATAATCGAAGATTAAATAATTTTACCTGAGCAAGAGATATCATGTTAATTAGAGACTTGACATTGTGAGAGATATAGATAAGCAATTAATCAGCCAGATTTGAGCGTAACTTATATTCTGCAGTAAAATATATTTCGAAGATATGATATTACGACGTTTAGTTCACGTTCCTTCAGCGTGCTAGTATAATCGATGTTCACAATTTGCTTACGAAGTAATCAATTCGTTATAGATGTTTTGTACGCCTCATCGTTTTTTAATTTCTTTGTCGTTCGCTTTTGTTATACATACTTTATCTGAAACACATTCCATTGCGATTAGAGTAAAATCTCCATCATCTGTAGAAACGGAGTTAAAAAAAATATTATTAATATTTATACAGAGAGGATAATATAATTTTACTGAAACATTTACGTATTAATCGCGCTGACATATTTTTAAAATAACGATTACGACAAAAAATTCGATGCAAAAACACTTTGACGTACATTACGGTAACTACACAGTATATATCCGTATTAAAAAAAACGCTTGTGATGACACCATGACTCATCAAGATATGATATCCCATACATTCCAGCAATATTACAAGCTTCTGTGCTGTATGAGATTATAAAGAATTTATTTACTAAATCCGGAACGAAAATTTTTAATGTAGGTACGCATCTAATCGATTTACAATGATTAAATATAAATATTTATAAAATTAAAATTTATAAGTGCGATTTCTACCTCGTATGCAGCATGTATAATGTTGGATCCTTGTTTCATTAACAGCCAACGAAGTTTAAATAAATTTATCAAACACCAGATTTTATTTTTAATCTTTTATTTAAGTTTCTTATCAATACTGTTTACACTGCAACTGTACTTTGATTTGCAAAGTTTCGATCTAATTTTGTTTATTCTCCGCTTAATCGCGTTATCGTTTTATAATTTACATAATTCTCTTGCTTGAAGCATTCTATATTGCTGTGTGAAACAAGGACAACAAAACAAGGTATTCAACAGTCACATCCGGTAGTGTTGATTAGAAATGAGTTATTGCATTCCTCAACGATTTTATTCAGTCATATTAATTGCCGGTTTCAACATTAGTCAATTTTAAGCATAATTCAAATTATTCTGTTTTCTTTTTCAAATTTTACAAGAATTGGAAAACACAATGTTTTCAATTAACTAAAATTACAAAATCTGGCGAGAAATTTTGAGTTTGAATGCTTCGAACGTAGATAACTAAGATGAATCATTTTTAAGATAAAAATTCTTTTCGCAAACTGTTAAAAAATCCTACATTAACATAAAATCATATTTTCTCTGTGCTCTATCTCAATCTGATTTTCTCTTATACGAGAAGAGAAAAAAATCAAAGTATTAAACAGCACATTTATGTTCTAGTACAGAAGTAAAAGGATCATAACGACTTGACGAATTTATCTAAAGACCCTATAGTTATTTCTCCGTAAACGCATTCTGCTGCATGTGACGTTTAGCATTTTAAAACATATTCGATGTAAAAAAAAGATGAATTTTCCGCGTAGCGCATTGGTATGGTGACATTGGTACAACAGCAGCAGCCAACGCTCGACGGTCATCAGTGTCAAAAAGATCAGGACCATGTGAACGGTGGTGCTGTTGTGTCTGCCGAGAATCATGCGATCGACAAGTTTCGCGGCGAAGCTGCGCACTCGGCGAGAGAAACCGCGGTCGTCGCTCCGGGCAATGGTAGCGTTGGAGATTCCTCTACGCAGTGCAGTGACGTAGACGACGATGAGGAAGAGGAGACGGACGTCGAAGAAGGCGGCAGCTGGATCACGAATCTGCCGGTATCCTCGACTATCGTCCAGCAACATCAAGCGGTTGCGACTACAAACGGCGATGTTGTCCTACCAAACGCCGATCCGTCGAATTTTGGTGACGTTTGTGTGAAAAACTCAACGAATGTGCATCTAGGTAACAAGACCTTCTACAAGGGTCCGGTTACCATAAAGCAGTTCGTTTACACGAATCCCATTCCCATCCAGGATGCGGGTAAACTCGACGACGCCAACTGCGCCTCCGACGTTAGCACCTCGGATTTGTCGACGAATAAGGACAATAGAGCGGCCAACGGACCCATTTTTCCGCAAAATACTGAATTAGCTAAGGGTAATAATCAATTAGATTGTTTAGATCCGTTGTTTTTAATTTATTCTATCGTCTTTTCTTTCCTCAATCGTCTTTCCTTTCCGGAGCACAGATAAATACGAAATCGTTAAATAATTAAAAAGGGTAGATCTCGTTTTTAGATTTAAAATAATAGGATAATTTCATGTAAAAAATTACGCGATTTTCGTACACAATAAATTGAAAATGTAAATATGTTTTAAACACTTTTTGATATCATTGCAACAAGTATTCTAGTAATAAATATCTAAATAATATTAAATCGAAAAAATCAATATTTGCCTTAAAAATGTTCAATTTATTAATAGAACTTAACGCATAATTATTTGTGAACTGATTTTAGTAATACATCGATGAAAATAAAAAAGTAACGGTTTTAGTAACGTTTTATATTAAATTCAATTGGACGTACTTAGTGCACACTCATGCATATTAAAATCGTTACATACAAATTAACGTAAAGGTGTGTCTAATATAAATGTAAAAACAGGTTAAACCGTGAAATTCTTGATACATTTTAATGTGTTGTTAAGTAAAATATTTGTTTTATATCCGATTAATTTATAGATAAAAAAACTAATTTAATTCTTAATGTATATTGTAATAAACTAATTTATTTTTTAAGATCCAATAAACGTTGCTCGTGTTTTTTGATCTTTCTAATTACTAATTTTTGCTTAGTAATCTCGAGCTAGATATTTTACATATTTTAATTTATTTGCATTTTACTTTTACACTGATTAGATTAAATTAGTGTACAACGGTTTTAATATGCATCAGTGGCCACTAGTATATCCAATCCGAATTCACTATTATTTTATTGTTAGAGATGTTATTTGACGTCACCTTGCTATGGCGTAATCGACATAGCTTCATCTGATAGACTCAAAGATGTTATCAAATCAAATTCTCTTTTTATACGTAAACACTTTAAAATGTATACTAATAGTTATTTGAGATAATGTATACATATAATTGCATATACATATAAATAAAGATAAATATCGTATATATTTTCATTACCGATTAGATGAATCTGATAAGGCCGGAATCAGACTATTGAAGAATGAGATTGAAAATTGAAAGATTGAAGTTTGACCAATCAGAACGAAAAGAGCCAGAATTTCTTTGCCCTCAATGGTGAAATTTTAATCTTTAATCTTTAATCTCAATCTTCAATGAATAGTCTGATTCCGGCCTAAGAATCGATGATATAATATATATCTATCTCAAAATAACTTCGATGATTTCTTTGAAGCGTATGAAGTATAATAATCAATCAAGTTGCAATGTTAAAAAACGATTTTAATGATATAACATATATCATTAAATCTTTTGACATTGATTTTAACTGTCACAACTATGCCAGAATATAAGCGAGTTTCAATATTGTTAATATATTAAATTGAAATTTGTTCTTACACTTTTAATTATTACAAGAATTAAAGTTTTACACGAATCTGAATAGAGTAACAGAAGAGTGGCATCAAACAAGAATTATAAAACACGAAAGATTTAATGTAATTATACATCTCTCGCTAAACACGCGCTTTCCAGCGTAATGATCATGTAATTTTATCCAACGCTATTACGTAGCTCATAAACTTGTTCTAATCATCGTTCTAATACAACACTTTATAATTATATATTCTAGTGACGCAGTGGCTTTGGACGTGGAGATGTGCGGCTTTATCATGCGTTCTAGCTTTAATACTTCTAACTACTATAGTGGTCACATCTGTATATTTCATTCATCACCCGGACGCACCGGCCTTCCCGGAAATTCCAAATTCATCAGTCGAGGGTAATTTCATCTGAAAATTTTGCTTTGCAAGCACACAAGACAAACATTATCTTAGTGTGATTACAAAATTTAAATCTGTGTCTGCGTTCCATATTTATTCTAATCTGTAAAAAGCGTTTCTGTGTTTTGCATGAATCGTATATTAAAATATTTTGCATTTCCACATACTTTGCATAGCAATATTCCAGATTTCATTGCAAAAACTGGCATATTTAAGATTGTTACATTTAGTGTCAAATTAAAGAGTTTTTAATTAATGTATCTGCATCTTGAACGATATATCTTTGTACGATATATTTTATTTTCCTAATTTTCAGGTGTACCAGTAACTTCGGTACGCTTTGTCGAGAGAAACGAATGGGGTGCGCAGCCGCCCTCGGATCCTCTTAGAAAAATGAAGCTGCCAGTACCATATGTAATTATTAGTCACACCGCAACAGAGTTCTGTTCCACACAATCAGAGTGTACATTTCACGTGAGATTTGCTCAGACTTTTCATATAGAATCTAGAAAGTGGTCGGATATCGCCTACAATTTTCTTGTTGGAGGCGACGGTCTCGCATACGTTGGTAGAAGCTGGGACTATGTTGGTGCTCATGCCTTCAATTTCAACAACAAGAGTATCGGTATTTCCTTTATTGGTACATTCAATTCGATCATACCACCGAAAACGCAATTACACGCTGCGCAAAAAATCATAGAGATCGGCGTCAAGGCCGGGAAAATTTCACCAGACTATAAACTGTTAGGTCACCGACAAGTGTCGAAAACTTTGAGTCCAGGAGATGCTTTATATAATGAAATTAAAAAGTGGCCTCATTGGTCACCTCAGCCTTAACTTGATTGTTTGGAAGTTTAAATCGTGAATAAAATACAATTTTTGAAAAAATATTTAAATTTTTTTTCTTTAAATATGTAGTTATGCATTTGTCTATTTTTTCAGCTAAACTTCTTACATCATTCCTTTTTTCTTCATTGTTTTCTTCAGTTTTCCTTTTTTTTTCATGAAAAGAAAACATGAGATTCAGCAAGAGGTTCTGCTGAAAAGAACAGACCATGATAATTCCGAGTTTAGATAACAGTTGACTGAAAATATCTACGACCCTACTACTTACACTGTCACAAACTGCTCCAAAAGTAAATCTTTTTGAAAGGACACAATTCAGTCTTTACAGACTTGTACAATAAATAAGTTCAATTATTAGAATGTGAGTCAATTAATGAAAGAAAAAAAATGTATATATATAAAATTAATATAAAAAATAATTATTGGTGGTTAAATAATTTGTTAAAATTAAAAATCATTTTAGAAATATATGTATAGATATTAAACAAAATACAGAAAATGTAAACAGTAAAAGAATTGAAAAGTAGTCCATTTTCAACTATCTAGTAAGGAAGAAACATATTGAAACGTTCCAGCAATATTGCGGCAACGTTGTAATATTACTGGAATGTTGCTAGAATATTCCAGAATGTTTTTTGCTTACTAGCATACATACCTACTTTTACCACATTCATTGATTCATTATAATGTGTCGAAACACTAGATTATTCAATTCATTTATTTACGTAAAAAAATAAAGATGCCAATAGGTTTGTTTTCTGTTTCTGCATTGGTTGCATTAATTCAAAAAGCGCACATACGCGGAAGCGTTTTTTGTTCTCAAAATGGCGTCAGCGACGCTGTTTTTTGTTCCAGTACAACAGAATCCAATGCACGAGTTCACTGAACTAGCTGCAAAATCTGGAGTCAGTGCAAGTACTAACGTATGTACATCAGTTCAGGCACAGAGTAAAAACAGATTTGTACAAATAGTGCGAGAGTTTACAAGTAATACAACGATAAAAATATATAAATGATAGCAAAGTCTACATACAAAAATATTTTGTGCCATATCATTGTCTTCAATGAAGAAATTCTTAATGGTGGAATTTCATTAATACTTTCATTTTCATCATGCGAATTTCTAATATTTTTATGTAAACAATATGGGACGCCATTTTTATCTTGCACTAGAATGTTTTTTACACTCGTCAATTCTGAATTACACTAGTTCAGTTCAGTTTTATTAGTGCAAGAATAGAAAACAAATCTAATGTGACAATTACTATATATATATTTTATAGTGTGCCAAATTTAACAATCACATGTTAAAAATCCACTTGAATCTTAAAAAGCATTTTGTATATATTATAAAAAAATATATTGTATATTTAAGGAATCAATAATTTTTTAAAATAAAGAAATATGTACATGTGTCCTGCTTTTGCTCATCTTTTTTTTCACTCTTCCCTAGCATTATTTTATTTTTACTCGTCTCGCATTACTTTTAATTTTTATTCTAATAACCCTTGTAGAAAAAAGTACTACTGAGCACTAGGAGTATTTTGAGCAGTGATGGGTAAGATACTTTTAAAATTTATCTAGATACAGCGATAGGTTCCGCGCACAAAGATGGTCGCAACTGAGTCGTAGTCGTAAGTCGTTGTCGTAGGTCAA